TAGTACAACCTACATATAGGCTATCAGTCTTTGTTGAAATTTTGCAACTGAATTCGCAACGGATAACAAATTATGACGAATTATGGGCCAAAATTTCGCCACAAATAATCCATCGCGCATGTCGTCGTAAACTCGACGCAAGTCCGATGCAAATTGCGATTCAATCAAAGGATGTCGCAAATTTAGGATATTTGCGACAAAATTAACAACGGAAAAATTTAGGATGGTAGATGATGTCGCAAAACTGCGGAAGGGGTCAAGCAAAGGATAAATCATGTCATATCGTCGCAAAATGCGATGGAATTTGCTACGATTATAACTTGTGTGGGAATATGCAACAGATTGGACACAAATATTGCGATGGATACACATTTTTGTCGTATATAGAAAAATATCACTTTTACAGTTTATAATTTTTTATAGTGAAATAGAATGTACTTTTTCCCTTTTACTAGTATTTATTTTAAACTTCCCGATAAAGCTTTTGTGCCGCAATCTTTGTAACTATTCTTAATCTCCTAGTCTTGTCCCTTAATACCTATTTCGATTTCCCTCTTATTCGATTCATTCATGTATCCCAGCCACTGGAAGTAGGCTAGGAGCCACTCCTTGTCTATGCCTTACTGTCATAGTCCTCCTATCTTAACAGGTCTAGACTCCATACACTAGGATTTTGACAAGTAGTAGAACCGGTTGGAATAATTTATGGTTATTAATGGGACACTTACGAGGGGATACAAACCTGTCGCAACCTGCATTAAAATTTGCGATGGTCGCAATGAATTTTTCATTGCAGAATTGAATTGTTATGTTAAACTAAAAACTTAACACATTTCTCCCACGTATCATTTCCCCTTTCACAAAGCCTCTCTTCCCAAACACCACACTCACACTATTCCCCTTTCGTCTAACCGTTACACTCTTCTTTTCTCGTCTTTTTCTCGCACTCACCTTCACCTCTGATAGCAACACCGCAAGTGCACCGGTCGTGAAAGTAATAAAGTGTACTGAGTACGAGATCGTTCCCTTGAGGATCAGAATTTCAAGCACTAGTTCACTAATTGTGTTTTAGTTGGACAATCAAAGGTTGGGTTTGAGATAATAGTGAATTTAGATGAAGAGAATTGTGGTTCAAAGAACCTAAATTTTAAAACAATGCCAGTATGAAATTCTAGAATTAAAAGAATGAATGAGATGATGTTTGATTAAGATTTAAAGAAAAGCGTAGTTAAGGTTTCGACTTCCCCCAATATATCAATATGTTATGAATTAAAAAGCCAAGAATCTGTTTCTTAATATATTGCCAATCAATTCTATCTAAGTTAATTAGGGCTCAATTCCTTGTTACCCTAAATCTATGTGATCTTGAAAGAACTCTAGTTCCCCAATTATTCCCCCAAGAAAACATGCACTAAGATCAAGAATTACAAGATTGCATAATTACCTTATGTCTATTCCTATTCCTATTCTTAGAACACAAGGATTATGTTAAATTCTCAAGTCAAGGTTCATGCACCAACATCCATATTGTCATACAATTCCCCAAAATCATTCTATAAGGAACAAACTCATAGAAAGCATTAAAAACATATAATTTATTCAATTATAAAAAGAACAGGATTCGGAGACAATTTAATTCATAAACATAAAGATTCAATTGGGTTCCATCTACCCTTAACTACATAAAAAAAACTACTCTAGCATACTAAAAAGAAAAGAAATAATAAAGAAAAGAGAACCCCAAGCCCCCATTGGTGTGATGTTGACTTGGTTACTCAGTGTTCCAGCGCTCCACAACAAGATTCCTCCTTGGAGTATGGATGAGATGAATGAATTGGTGAATGGTGAATTGGTCTTGACCCCAAGCTCCTTATTTATAGCTTTTTGGGTTGTATTCTTCATCTAATCTTCCAATGAATCCATACAAGATTTGTATTTGATTTTATCTTTGTTTCCTTTTTCATGTAAAATCTTGGAGATTTGGTTGATGAATTAGAGTTTTAAATCTTCGTTGTATCCTGCTTCAATCTTCTCAAGAATCATCTTGATTTGTTTCTGTTTTAGTTCCATATCCTATATGAATAAATCTTCTTTAAATCTTCATGGAATTTGTTGCGTATCTTGATCAAATCTTCCTTTGAACCTTTAGCAATTCTTTGGTAAATCTTCTCGCTGTCAAATAAATGATTGTTGTCTGCCTTAGCACGTTTTGGCGTGCTGTAGCACGCGAAAACGTGCTCTTCGAATTGTTTTTGTGGCTTCAAGGGCGTTTTGGCGTGCTGTTTGCGCGCCAAAACGCTCTCCTCCAGGGAGCAATGGTATTTTTCTTTCTTTTGTGTGTTTAAACATGCTTTATGGACGCTAAAACGTCCTCTTTCAGCTGGTATACACTTGGAATCTTGCTTGCTTGTGCTTCAACTTAACATGATGTCTTCCTTTGGTTCCAAAATGCCATAATTGGTGTCAAAAACCCTTGTAAATCAGCATTACGACAACATGTTAGCAAGATATTCAATTAATGTAATTTACAGTATAAAACCCTAATTTTCATGCAATTCATAACATATATCAATCATATTTAAGCCTAAAAACATGGTAAACTATGGGTTTATCAACCATTCCCAGATTTGAACATTGCTGTCCTCAGCAATGCACTAGAATAAACTCAATGAAATTCAATCAAGACTTTCAATTGCATGGAATTCACAGGCAGGATTTAATCAGAGAATTGACTACAGAGCATTCAGACTTAAGGAAAGGATGACACATCAAAACAATAAGATCAATAATTCATCAGTCAAAACTTTTAATGAAATTCCTTAAGATCAAGAACAAGGAAAATTTCCTGAGACACTCCCTCACTAGGAGTTTTTAATTCACTCTTGCTCAATTGTCTAGAGGGTTGGTGTTTCTCTCTTATTCCACTGAATCAATACTACCATAGGCTTGCTTATATTCTCGCTCTCCACAGTTCTTATGATAAATCAAGCAGATCAAGAGGTCTTTCGCAAGGTTGTAACGTGGCCTGGTGAAAGGGAGGGGAAGAATTTGGGACAAAAGTTTAAAGATCAATTCAGATTAAGGAATGGAACAAGTGTTTGTTCGTTCTTCAGGCTGTAAAGCTTTTCTTTCCAGTTCTTTATTTTCTTCATTTGAACTTTCTCTTTTGTCGTTTTCTTTCTAAGCATATTTTCTTGCTTTTCACTTTTTTTTCCTTTCTTTGTTTTGAGCATTTTGCTCGATCTTCTTGAGTCTATCCAACTTTCCTTTTTCTTTCTTCTTTGGGCATTGCCCTTTTGCTTATACTTCTTCATTCCGTTGAACGCCTGCATAGTTGAAACTCATGTCCACTCCTTACTTGAATCTGAAATTAATCTGCTATTAAGGTGAGGATTCAATTGGGGAAATGGCTATTCACATTCAAGGGTTCTTCATGAACAAAAAGTTTAGGCTCAAGGGGGCTTAACTAAGGAAATATCATCAAGGTTAGCTATTTGGCCATCTAGTTAAAGAAAGAACACGCCTCTATCATCTCTACAGAATAAATCACAGACTATTTTAATCAAGAAACAAAGCAAGTTCTAGAGTATCTCAACAATGGAATGCACACTCAATAAAAATTTCTGTATAAGCTCAAAACCTCATGGCTATGAATGCACAGTAATTTCTCTGTTCTTTTTCTCAAACAACTTCAATATCAAACAATATATTCAATGAATTGTGTCACTTCTTGCAATGATGTTCATAAAAGTGAATATGTATAAGTGCATCATCATGCTCTGAATCAGTTTCTAATTTAAACTTCTCGCCATTTTTCCAATTAACACTAAGAAAACTTTAAAAAAAATTCAGATTTTTCACAAAAAATATTGACTTGGGGTTTTCCAACAAAACAATTAAAATTATCTAACTAAAACATGAAAAACAAAATTTAAAAATTGCATGAAAAAGGAATTTGAGATAGTTCCCTGTCTTGACCGGAGATTCTGTGTATACTCATTAAAATTCCTCCGGTGTCAATCCAATGTGCTTAGATGGAACGCGCATTCTCCATTCCCAAATTTAAATTTTGCTGTCCTCAGCAACAGATTTAAATCTAAAAATAATTCGTGTGCAAGCTAAGCATAACTAGTCGCTTATTCTGAAACAACATGAAACAATCTAACTCATCATTCATAAAAGCGATAGTATGAAACATGTCACAGGGTTAGCATGTCAAACAAAAAAGCTAATCTCAAAACATCAAAAGAAAGTACGAGGGGGAATGGGAAAAGGGATGTCTCAATCGTCTTGGTCCTCCTCCTCAGCATCTCGGACAATGGCCGGGATCATCTCGGTGTCCTCATCCTCAGCAGCATGTGAAGTGGTGGCCTGAGATGTAGAAGTGCTCCGCCTGACAGCATCAAAAGTGACCTCCTCATCGGAGCCATCATAAGGTGTAGGCTGGAAAGGTGGAGGTCCATGACCACATGTGGTTTGGAAATAATAGGCCTTTAAAATTTTTTGGGCCCGCGTTGGAGCGTTTTGGAGCCCATAATTCACGCTAAAACGCGTGTATGCAGGGGCTACCACCTGTGAAAACAGGAGCACGTTTTGGCGCCCAGGAGCACGTCAAAACGTGCTCTTCGAATCCCAATTTGCTCATTCCATAGCGTTTTGGCGTGCTTGTTGCACGCTAAAACGCTCATAGGCATGTGCTTTTGCTAATTTTGGTCAGTAGCACGTTTTAGCATGCATGTGGACGCTAAAACATGTATAAGCAAAGGTAATCTTTATATTTAAGCTTTAAAATTCCATACCTTAGCCTCTTGATTCATCGTTTTCGCTTCCTTTAAACTCAGTCATGTCCTTGACCTTACTTGTCTGTCTCTTTTTGCTTTTTCTTTTTCTTTGGAAAAATAAACTAATACTAAAAATTTAAATAAAAAGCAGTCAACTACGGGTTTGCCTACTCGTCAGCGCTTGTTTAACGTCACGAGCCTGACGTACCTGACTTATGATCATGGTGGCTCAAAGCATAAGCTTGGTGATGACCAAGCTCCATCATTCAGAAATTGTGTCCTACCATAGTGCTCGTCTGCATATGGATGAGGTAAAGTAGTCTCAGGAACTTTGAACTTGACTTTTACATTCTTTCCTTCGCTACTAGGTTTCTCCATCTTAACCTTTGGCTTACTTTCTCGAGAAGACTCCTCATTGTGTTCTTCTTCACCTTTCTTTTCACCAATGTAGTAGACTTGATCTTCCGGTTGAGCTACAGATGAGGGGACTTCTTTGTCAAAGAACTTGAAAGTTGCTTGTTCTCTGTCTACCCGTAATATCTTCTCACCTTTAAGTACATCAATCAGTGCTCCTGAAGTTGCCAAGAAGGGTCTTCCAAAAATCATAGCAATTGTGGCATCTTCTTCAATGTCAAGGATGACAAAATCGACAAGAATGATGAATTTGTCTACCTTAACCAATATGTCCTCGATGATACCATAAGCTTGCTTTGAAGAGCGGTCAGCCAGTTGCACTATCGTCTTTGTGGGCTTCACTTCGGTTATCCCCAGCTTCTTCATCATGGAGAGTGGCATGACATTGATGCTAGCTCCAAGATCACATAAAACATTGTCTACTTCTCTCTTGCCTATAGTGCATGGAATGCTGAAGCTCCTTGGATCCTTGACTTTTGTAGGTAACTTCTTTTCGCTGATAGCATTACATTCCTCCGTCAGATTTACTGTCTCACATTCCCGCAACTTACGTTTCCTTGATAATAGATCCTTCATAAACCTTGCATAGTTGGGCATGTTCTCTAAAGCTTCAGCAAAAGGGATGTTGACTTGCAGCTTCTTGAAGATGTCCAGAAATTTGGTGTATCGTTGTTTCTGGACCTCTTGTTTCAACCGCTGAGGGTATGGAACTTTTGCATATGGAGACGGGTCTGCCGCTTTTGGTTGCCTGTCCAGAGCTTTCTTTTTCTCCCACTTGAACAGCTTCTTCTCTGGAATGCATTTTTCAGCTTCTAATTCTTCTTCTTCTTTCTCTTTCTCAACTTCAGGTTTAGCTTCTTTCTTCTTTTCAACTGGTGGCTTTTCCACAGGTTGAATCACTGTCCCACTCCTAGTGGTGATAGCATTGCAATGCTCCCTTTGATTGACAACTGTGTTGCTTGGAAAAGTGCCCTGAGTTCTTTCAGTGAACTGTCTTGACAGCTGACCAATTTGAGTCTCCAAGTTTCGGATCGAAGCTTCTTGATTCCGGAATGAGGCTCTTGTCTCCTCTCTGAAGGAATTTGAATTCTGAATGTAGTCTGAGGTGGTCTTGAACAGCTGTGCAAATGCTTTTTCCCACTCTGATAGTGGAGGTTGCTATTGTTGTAATGGCATATGAGGATTCAGCTGGTAGTTTGACTTGTAACTCAACCCAGGGTGTTGGTTGTTATTCTTCCACCCTTGGTTACCATATTGATTCCTTCCTTGGTTGTTCGAGTTCTTTTGATCATACCAGAGTGCATTGGCCTCTGCTGTTGCTTTTCTGTGTTTTTGATGTATTCACAATCCTCAGTTGCATGAGCCTCCTGACAAATATCACATTTAATGTTAGCATTAGAAACAGAAGAAATTTGAGAAATATTAAATTTCTTATTAAGAGCATCTAATTGTTCTTGTTGTTTCTTGTGCATTTGTAGCATTTGTTCATTTTGGGCTAATATTGCATCATAGCCTTCTAGCTTCATGATTCTTGAACTTCTGGGTGCAACTGGAGTAGGAGCATTGTCAAATTCTTAAGATGCTAATGATTCCAACAATTCAAGTGCCTCCTCAGGAGTTTTTGTTTTCAATGAGCCTCCTGAAGCGGCATTTACCAATGTTCTTGTGTTGGCTATCTTCCCTTGGAGAAAGATTCTTGCATTCTCCCATGCTTCAATTCCATGTTGAGGACACTTCCTGAGTAATCCTTTGAATCGTGTCCAAGCCTCGTACAAAGATTCGCTTTCTTTTTGTTCGAAAGCTGTGATCTCCACCTTGAGCCTAGCCATCTTTGAAGCTGAGAAAAATCTTGCCAAGAATTTCGCGGCTAAGTCATCCCAACTGGTTATGCTTCCTTCAGCTTGAGACTGCAACCAATCTCTTGCTTCATCTTTCAGTGAGCATGGAAATAGCCTGAGTAAGATAGCATCACGAGAAACTCCATTTACTTTTAATTTATCACAATAAAGTAAGAAGTCATCAAGATGACAGTAGGGGTTCACTGTGCTTCCTCCAGCGAACTGTTCTTTTTGAATCAGTTGCAGTAACGCCGGCTTTAGTTCAAAGTTGTTAGCCTCTATTTGGGGTCTAACAATGCTCGCTGTCTGTGGAGCTCGAGCTGGGGTCATGTAATGCCCCAATGTCCTTCGAACAATTTGATTGTTGTTTTCTGCCATTGGTTCTTCCTTAGGTTCCTCCTTTGTTTTCGTAGAAGTTGATGCTGTTTTTGTTTCTTTCGCTTTCTTTGCTTTTGCGTCCTTCCTAAGTTTTCTCTCTGTCTTTTCTATCTCAGTATCAAACTGCAAGAGTCACGAGTTAGAAGTACCTCGCATAAACTAAGAGTTGAAAAGATGTGCAGAAAAATAAGAAACACAAAACAGAAAATTAAAGAAATTAATGCAGAAAATTAAATATGCAGAAAAATATGCATAATTTTTGGATGCAAAAAATGTTTTTATGATATGCTTAAAGAGCAGAAAAATAAGAGTCCAATCTAAAATTTAATTAGTTACTTCTAATGTTGAAGAATTCGATCCCCGGCAGCGGCGCCAAAAACTTGATAGCAAAACGGCAAGTGCATCGGTCGTGAAAGTAATAAAGTGTACTGAGTACGAGATCGTTTCCACGAGGATCAGAATTTCAAGCACTAGTTCACTAATTGCGTTTTAGTTGGACAATCAAAGGTTGGGTTTGAGAGAATAGTGAATTTAGATGAAGAGAATTGTGGTTCAAAGAACCTAAATTTAAAAACAATGCAAGTATGAAATTCTAGAATTAAAAGAATGAATGAGATGATGTTTGATTAAGATTTAAAGAAAAGCATAGTTAAGGTTTTGACTTCCCCAATATCCTCAATATGTTATGAATTAAAAAACCAAGAATCTGTTTCTTAATATATTGACAATCAATTCTTTCTAAGTTAATTAGGGCTCAATTCCTTGTTACCCTAAATCTATGTGATCTTGAAAGAGCTCTAGTTCCCCGATTATTCCCCCAAGAAAACTTGCATTAAGATCAAGAATTACAAGATTGCATAATTACCTTATGTCTATTCCTATTCCTATTCCTAGAACACAAGGATTATGATAAATTATCAAGTCAAGGTTCATGCACCAACATCCCTATTGTCATACAATTCCCCAAAATCATTCTATAAGGAACAAACTCATAGAAAACATTAAAAAAAAGATAATTTATTCAATTATAAAAAGAACATGATTCAGAGACAATTTAATTCATAAACATAAAGATTCAATTGGGTTCCATCTACCCTTAACTACATAAAAAAACTACTCTAGCATACTGAAAAGAAAAGAAATAATAAAGAAAAGAGAACCCCAAGCCCCCATTGGTGTGATGTTGACTTGGTTACTCAGTGTTCCAGCGCTCCACAACAGGATTCCTCCTTGGAGTATGGATGAGATGAATGAATTGGTGAATGGTGAATTGGTCTTGACCCCAAGCTCCTTATTTATAGCTTTTTGGGGTTGTATTCTTCATCTAATCTTTCAATGAATCCATACAAGATTTGTATTTGATTTCATCTTTGTTTCCTTTTTCATGTAAAATCTTGGAGATTTGGTTGATGAATTAGAGTTTTAAATCTTCGTTGTATCCTGCTTCAATCTTCTCAGGAATCATCTTGATTTGTTTCCGTTTTAGTTCCATATCCTATATGAATAAATCTTCTTTAAATCTTCATGGAATTTGTTGCGTATCTTGATCAAATCTTCCTTTGAACCTTTAGCAATTCTTTGGTAAATCTTCTCGCTGTCAAATAACTGATTGTTGTCTGCCTTAGCACGTTTTGGCGTGCTGTAGCACGCGAAAACGTGCTCTTCGAATTGTTTTTGTGGCTTCAAGGGCGTTTTGGCGTGGTGTTTGCGCGCCAAAACGCTCTCCTCCAGGGAGCAATGGTATTTTTCTTTCTTTTGTGCGTTTAAACGTGCTTCATGGACGCTAAAACGTCCTCCTTCAGCTGGTATACACTTGGAATCTTGCTTTCTTGTGCTTCAACTTAACATGATGTCTTCCTTTGGTTCCAAAATGCCATAATTGGTGTCAAAAACCCTTGTAAATCAGCATTACGACAACATGTTAGCAAGATATTCAATTAATGTAATTTACAGTATAAAACCCTAATTTACATGCAATTCATAACATATATCAATCATATTTAAGCCTAAAAACATGGTAAACTATGAGTTTATCAACCTCTCAAAAACCACACTCACACCCTTTCGATGCACACACATCATCATTGGAGCACAACCATCACCTGCCCACACTCATCACCTTTACCAGAGTAACACTACTGTTAGTTTCACCAAGGAGTTCTCTCTCTCATTCCCCCCTTCTCTCACGTGTCTGTCTTCTACATATATTGTTGCTATTAGACTTCCTCCTCGTAGAGTTGCATCCATCGCTACTGTCTGCCACAGGGTTGGTCGGAGCATGTTTGGTCGCTGCTCACCATCTTTGCCACACCATTCACAGCTACCATTTTTAGGGTTTTCATCCAATCCTTCACCTGATTTTGCTATCGATTTTTGCTTCTGACATTTAAATGGTGGCATTTAAATCAAACCCTCTTATCTTATTCCCCTCAAATCTAACTGAAACATAAATTTTGAATTGAGTAAACTCATTTTATTTTTTCAGAAATCCCCCTTTGTATTTTTGATTTAAGTTGAAACCTAGGGGCTGTTTTAGTTGAGGAAATTTAAATTGTGTAATTTTTATTAACTTCGTCCCATTTCTAGGATTAAATCGTGTATGTGCTGATGATCAAAATATGAGTTTATGGGTGAACAAGCTTCTCTCCGGTTGATAAGGTTTGTCAACCTTGACCCCGATTAGTTCTTTCATTCCTTGTCCTCTCTGTTTGTGTTTCTGTGATGGTTTGTGCTCTCTATTTTTGTCGATACTTGGTTGCTTTAATGAATTTAATTACTTTTTAACATGTTTTTGCTGCAATCTCAATTTGATTCGCATGAGTATGTTGCTTTTGGAAATGTTGTATTTCAAAATCCTTGGTGGCTGGTGCTGATCACATGTGGGTACAGAAATTAAGCAGCTTATAATTTTTCACCGGCTAAAATTAGGAAGTTTATCAAGATTTGTAATAGTCATGTAAAGTTATGATGATTCTCATTGTAACAGCTCATTGTACACCGGTATTGTTAACAATAATTATGATATTAAGCGCAGTTACAATCACAGCAATTCATTTATAAAAATGCGAGTAAATTTTATCCGTTTATTACGCGAGCATTTAAAACAATAAAAGCGTAATAAATAAAAGCTGTGACTGTAACTGTAAAATCTTTGCGGAATAATTATTTAAACTACTTTTACATCATATATTACTTCTCTTAAGTCACTAAGGGGTTCCCATAAACCCGCTTAGCTAAAATCTCAGTTTTACGTTTTCTACCTATCCGAACATAGTTCGGTCTTTAATTTTCTTCGAACAAACTGCATACAAAAAGACTCTGATATTTTAGTATGTTATTATAGACTTAATTAAATTTCTAGGAAGCTATCACATGAGTCATAAAGTTCTCGTTTGCTCTGGATATCGCCGTTTGAAGTTGGACAAGCAATTCTGCCAGCCAACCCCAAAACGGCTCCAAACAGCCTTCGCTCAATCAATTATTCTGGAAAATCCACTCAACCAATTGCTCTCAAATTTTTATAAATGAAACTAGACACCTCAAGCTTAAATTTTATATATCATACAGCTAATTTGACCAATAAATGAAGCGGAAATAATTTTTCCAATCTTGCACCAGAACTACCACATGTGTAGTAACCAAATGGGCAGTCTGTGTTCTCTGCCTTCTACAGGCCGACGTCCAACCCAGATTTTCCTCAAATTTTGACACGAGATAGAGGACATCTGAAGCTTCAAAACTGAGTATGGTACGTCCCTATCGGAATTCTGTGGAGGGAAATATGCTCTCCCAAAGTTTTCCTAAATTCTGCCAATTTCTAGAAAATTTGCCAGAGTTTCCTTTGTTTTTCTAATAAATCCCAAATTTGTAAAAGTGTTCCCTAACCTCAATTTGTACCTAATAATCATTGGGCGGCACACAAAGACCAGCAATGCCTTGGTACTCTTACAACCCTTAACATTTTATATCCAATTTACTCAAATTACATAATCAATGCTTACTTTTCAATTTAACTAATTTCAATCACAAAAGTCCAATTGCATGCATTCTTTGAATCATAAATCATCATTCACATCCTAGAATACGCCTATTGCCCTTTCATCATATTACATATTTCGATGTTACATCAAATGTCCATATTACAATTTACAACTCCTCCAAATGACATATTTCAATTACAACTCATAACTTTCAAATAAAACATAATAATTGCTCCAAGGTAAATCATGATAATAAAAGACTAAACTTAAACAAAATACATCATGAACAAAATGATAAAAATAATCCTAATCATATGCATTGTTCATGACCTAAATCTAGCCTAGGCCCAATGGCCTCAAAATGCAAAATACGTATAAATCCTCCAGCTCAACCTACGGGCTTCTTGCCCGCCGCTTCAACACCACTGCTACCTCCTGAAATAAAGTTTCCAAAGCGGGATGAGATATACAAATATATCTCAGTAACCCAGAGGTTCTGGAGAATACTCCGCCCAATGTCTCACTTCGATGCATATAAATAACATAACATCCGAAAACGGGATAAAGCAAGGGATTTAGTGAAATAGGGGAGCATAGGGATACAAAATACGACGAAGTTGGAATGGTCATATAAGCCTACGGGTTTCAAACCAAGGCGTGTTCCCAGAAGATCAAATCAAGGCACCCTCCATCCATATCCACCCGAGACTTCCTAGTGTGCTCCTATCCGGATCACACACCACGACCCCAGGTCAACTGGAACTCCCTCTCGGAGACCTATCCAGTGAAAGTCTGTAACGCCCGAAGGCAAACCGTTTACTGGCCAGAGACACGGTACATCCTATGTACCAACACACATACAATATGCATGAACATGTTATCCTATATCATTTACATACACTTCCTACCATTACCCTCAACGGGCATGGTGGAACACACAAGGGGATCAAACCCCAGTACCAAGAGGTTACTTGTATAATCCTCTCCCACAGCTCCAATGCAGTATATTTCCCGAGCTAAGTATACAACAGAAATGCCTACACAGAGGACATTCCCAATTAATTACCATTCATCCAAACACATGCAAGTTATTAATTCTACAAGCATGGTTCCAAAATACTCACCACAATCCCACTTGGTCCGGGACTAAGGGAAACCCACCGACCTCACGATTCGGGGTTCAAATTCAAGAAAGGCAACCTACAATGACCATATACGGATTATCAACACACGGTAAATCTATCAAAATCCAAAAACGTCAAATTCCTCCTACACCATGGTAGGTTCGGCCATTGTAGTGCAAAATTACAAAATATTTTTCTTTTTATTTTTCTTAAGCATCCCAAGGTTACCCCAATGTCATTTTAGGTGCCAATTTGCATCCTACATCATTCAAACATCATTTTGCCAATTAATTTGCTCTAGGTTCAATTTTCAATTTCATACAATCCAACCATTTTTCTTTTGATTTTCAAAGCATCAATTTATCACACAACCCTTCTAATTACCATTTGACACCACCACATACCCATCATACAATTTCACAACATCAACACCCCATTTTCCCCTCTTTGGCCGAAATCATCATAGGCATACCCCAAGGGATTTTCAATCCAATTCAACTACTCCACACCTCATACAATCCTATTATTAACTCATACAACCATACAACAACTCAATTACACAATCCTAAAATCAACCAACATCACAAAGTCATGGAATTTCACCCAAATTTTTCCTAAGTTATCATCACATTTCACCAATAAATTTTATGACATACAACACTCCAAAACATCATTCTAAGACAAATTTATCGAATACACATTTTCCATTTGAGCTCTCGAACTACATCAATTCATACAAAATAGCTCTAGGTTACAAAATTTCAAACTCATGATTCAACCAATGAGATGTGTTGAAACTTACCCACAATTAAGGTCTAAGACTCCTCCAAGTGATACTCAATCAAAAGCTTGAACAACCAACTCAAGAACACCAAATCTACTCAAAATTTTGTGGCAATGTGTAGCATTTTTCTCTCAATCTATTGGTTTTCACGGCTTAATAATAGTATGGTTGGATTGGGATGATGGTTTACATGAAATTTAGTGACAAACTTTGTGGATTTTGGTGAGTTATTGTGTGAGAAATCAAAGCTTGAAGTTTTGCCCCAAATCCCTCCATCGCCACGGGTTTGATGAGTGAGGGACGAGAGAAAGAGAGAGTGAATAGTGATTGGGACAAGTGGCTAAGTCCACTTAAGTGAGGTGGGCCCCACCGCCACCTCACGCGATTTCAAACTAATTCGAATTTCCCTCCTATTCCACTAAACGTCCATAATTTCCTAACCTATTTAGAAACTCTAATTTTAAACATTAACCATTATCCTTTAATTACCCTTGATCATATGAATCCAGAGTTTTCCGCTCGTTCGAAGAAATTGCAGTTTTAAGCTGTTACGTGCGCAGTAGGCACGTTTCCCCAAACTTACTAATTTCCATCAATTTCCGCCAGAAATCACATTTCCTAGTTCCATAAACCATTTATAACTTGTATTCAAAACCTAGAGCTCAATCAACACATTTTACGGTGCAACTGTACCGCGGTATTTTTATCCAGTAAAAACACTATTCACTGAATTTTCCGAAACTTGCCTAACCACTCAATTTTTCGTTCTGAATCCATTTCCCGGGTTATTTTTATCATTTGAGACTTCCTACTCAATTTTACCTTCCTAGGGTTGCGTGTTTGGCTAATTACTGTTTTACCCTTCCTTTGTATTTTGACCTGATTTTCACTAATCCTTCCCTTTAACCCATGTTTAATATATTAATATATAATTTAAAAATGCAAGGTGTTATACTCATACCCACACCCACACGCTAACCCTAACTTAGAACCCCACACTCACACCACACATATACCTTAAACCCTACATGCCCCCCCCCCCCCCCCCGCGAAACACTAACACTAACCCTAAACCCTACACATATACCTTAACCCTATATCCCCCCCCCCAAACACTAACCTTAACCTTACACCTAAATCCTAAACACAAATTCTACACATACCCTAACCTTAACCGTAAACCCTACACATACACAAAAACACTAACCTTATCCCTACACTTAAACCCTAAACACAAACCCTACACTTAAACACTAAACACAAACCCTAACCTTAAAGCCTACACCTACACCTAAACCATACATGCCCCCCACCACTAACCATAACCCTAACCCTACACCTAAACCCTAAACACAAACCCTAACACTAAACAAACTCTAACCCTAAACCCTAAACCATAACTCATACCTAACCCTAACCGAGACAGTCATGATAGGAGT